GCGAGCGCGGGGCGGTGGCGTCCGCGCCGCACACCGAGACGTCAAGTTCACCAAATAACTAATGACGCCTCCGGTGTGCCGATTGTGATCCGACGGGACAATCCGCCCCGGCCGTCTCCAGCTGCCGCTCGGGGTGCCGGGGCGGAGGAAACAGGTGCGCGTCGGCGGCGAATGACACGTCGTCACAGGTGCAGCGAAGGAATCGTCCAGCATAATTTGTCACAGCAAGGTATCTTAAGAGAAGTCGATGCCGTCAGCACAGCGCATTCATGGCTGCAGCGGCTCAGATTTCGCACTGCATCCGAAGAAAACCGGCAAACAGCTGTGCACCTCGGTCACATGGACAGTGCAACGTCAAACCTAGCGGGCCTTCCTGTTTTTAGCGGCGCGTGACGTCAACAACGCACCGGACCATGTGATGCGGCGCGTGCAAGCAAGCCTGCTTGCAGCCTAGTGCTTCCAATCACACGTTTCAGGCCGCCTGTGCAGCAGTAACGCCAACGGAGTGGCAGTCGTCACCTTCATAGGACGCTGCGTGCCACCGCCTTACGCGGCGGCGTGGCGTGACTTGCATTTGACCGGAGGGCCGAGTTCCCTGCGCTTGCCTAACATGACCACCTGACACCCATGGACACGCGTACAGTGATAAACAGGCACCTGCAGCCGTGACGTGTAACGATTGAACATGCCAGCATAAGCGCGAAAAAAATGGCACTTCCTCAGCAAGGAGTGCGCGGCCGGAATTGAAACCAACGGCCGCAATTTTCATTAGCGAAGCTGCGACCTGCGCCGTACATCAGCACATATCGGCCGAAGACAGGCCACATTTACGCCACTTTCTGGTGCTAAATTACTGATCAACGCGAACAGACGGTGAAATTAAGTAGCTGATGGACACCTGATCGGTATCAAGCACCTGACAAGCGGCGCGGACCGCAGCATCGTTCCGTATAACCGATTAACCACAGATGTCAGCCACCCAGCGAAGCGACCATCCACCACGTGCTCCGTCCGCTCCTGCCCCCGTCGGCGCTGGTCAGCTATTCGCGGCGCCCGACCGCGGCGGGGACCTGGCCAGCCGGCCGTCGGGGTAGGCGGCCGCATGAGACACCTCCTGCTGCGAGCAGTCGGCATCGGCCCTGGTCTGGCCGCGGTCAGCTGGCCGGGTCTGGTCGCGGTCAGCTGACCAGGTCTGGCCACGGTCAGCTGACCAGGTCTGGCCACGGTCAGCTGGCCAGGTCTGGCCACGGTCAGCTGGCCAGGTCTGACCCCACTCACGAGGCTGGCACTCCGCCGAACGGCCAGCTGCAGCGCGGCGCGCCACGCGACGCCGTCCAGCCGCGCCGCGCCGCCGGCGCCTTCGACGAACGCGGCGCCACCTGCGAAGTGGCGCGGCCGTTCCGCGAAGGGGCGCGCGGAGGACGCGCGAGCTATGCAGCGGCGTTTCCGGAGCCGGCCACCTCCGCGGCCGGATCGGGGAATTCCCGGCGGGCGCAAAGTCATGGTCATGGCCGGGTGGCAGCAGCAGGAGTGGCGGCGGGACCGAGCGGAGTACACACGCCGGGCGGACTTTCCGCCCGGTGCTTTAGGCGCGTACCCGCTGACGGAGGGCGTGCGTCATCAGATGGCGCCTTCCCCTGAAGACGAAGCGAGCGAAGCGGTGCGTCATCGCAATAAGACGCCATCCTGACGGTGCGTCATCCTCTGTTCGCACGCCCGGGGCACGCGGTAGTAGTGCGTGGCCGTGACGTCACCCCAAGCGGCGTCATGCTCATGAGAATGCCATGGGGGACGGCAGGGCACATGCGCTTGTAAAATGTGAACTTCGGGCGAAAACTACAGAGAGTGGCCTTTACGGTCCCGAAACGATAGCGGGAAGGCAGGGGGATGTGTAGGCGCGCCCTCAATCCCACTTAGTGTGACCGAACGCTCAACGGCCAAATAGAGTAACACCATCCAGCGTGGGCAGGGGCGTAACGGCAAAATGAAGAGCGGTCCACCTTTCCCTACAGGCAGCACGTCTATCGTCACCAGCTAGGCAGCTATTCCCAATATTCGGTGTGAGCTTTGAGCGCCAGTTCTTTGGATCAATAAGTCAATACGTGCTAGGGTTCATTACGATTGCAGTTTTAAGCCTCCGAGCATCCAAAACGTTATGGAAGGGACAAGCGTGTCTGTTTGTTGTTCTATGCGATAGGTATTCACAATCTGATAGTAATTTAGTAGTAACCGTCATTTAATAGTAACCATAATTTGACCAAGTAACCAGAATTTGATGTGTTGGAGGGGAGGCAGGCACGCATTTTCATTCGTGTTTACCCTTCAACGTCAAAGGGGAGCAGCACCGATCCTGCACTTGGTTTACGCTATTGTATACCGTTCCCCACGGCCAAGTGGACAGTCTGCGCCCAGTCCCTCTTCCCCCCCCCCCCCGCATCCCAGAAAACGCGTTCCAGCCTCACGGATGGACTCACGCAAGCCAATGGGGCATTATAGTCATTCCCGTCTACCGCTCAGACGGAAAGGCAGCGTGCCTTTTACATTTGGTATCCTCCAAAACTTTCCGAAAGTTGTAATTTAAGGGTTGCTCTGTTTAAACTGAAATTGGCCAACACTATAATCAATTACAATGGAACAGAGAAATCAAACGCTCTTTGCATTTTTTAAGAGCATGGTTACAACTCCACCTGGAAGGACTTAATTCTTCTTTCTTAATCTGAGGCTTATTATAAGCACCAACATATCCTTTAAAACATGCAGGCAATGCTACCCTACACTGATACGTCTTGATGTCCTGAAGAACAAACCGCAACAATGTTCAGGCATACACATTTTTACAACGGGTCCGAGCTTTAGCCCACATCGTGAGCACTGCTATTTCCTATCTTTTTCTTTAGCCTTTTTCGCTTTAACGCGAAATAAATAACTCGCATTAAGAAAGCTTATACTCTAGTCATGTTCGATACCACATTTGCCGTGACGGCCTGCCCTATCCCCAGCCCAGATGGCCGTATCCACAGACGGCAATCCTCGGTCCTGGATCGCCTTCCTTACGTCGATCACGTCCTACGAGGAATGTGACAAATTATATGCTTCGAGCCGGGACGCCCGTCACACGCTACAACTGCTAACTTTTGAAATCAATTACCTGAAGTACTCTCTCATTTTGCCTTAAACAGATCTCCGAGAGCGACATAAAGTGTCGAAAATCCATGGGTAAATACGTATTTGAGAAAAAACAGACGCTCCCGGTAAACGATTTTCCCTTCCACCTACCTCCCTACCTCAAACCAAGGGACCATACCATCGGTGGCCGCCCAACACTAACTCAGTGCCAAAAGCAGGCCTAGCAAAAACATTTCCTTGGCCGAACGTCAATGGCACACGGCCGACGATGTTCAAACTAACCCCGCTCCCCCCCCCCCCCCCAAAGGAAGGAAGCAGGCCGTCATATTCCCTCGCATCTCACTCCCTTTTGTTTCTGTACCCAGCACTGGGCTGGAAATTTCACGGAAAGACATGACGCACTGAACACTAGTGCCAAGTCGAGGAGCTCCAACTTATAAAACCAACGCCTTGGTTTCTGGCTGGCTGTTGTCCAGGTGACTGTCCATGACGCATTTCTAAATCGGTTAGCGAATGGGGGAGGGGGCATAAATGACATAAAACGCAGGGTCAGTTTAGTCAGCGTGCTCCCATGCAGCACCCTAGTAACGACGCATTTGGTTTATTTAAAGACAATTTGAGCCAAGAGTACAACAGTGCATGTGTCAAAAAATTTAGATGATGGCTTTCAAGCTTCAGCTGTCATAATTTTCTAGGTTGGAATAATTACTTTCATGATTAAGGGATTTGACAAGTCAGATCTTTTCGAATCCGTCCGAATCCCCAATCCTGCTTCTACCAATCTTCTGAGGGCTAAGAGATTGGGGGGGGGGGGGGGGCTTGGCAATCGTCACCTTGATCGAAACAAATTTGAGCGATGAGAAATCACTGGAAACTAAGGGCGGTGGATTAGGCGAGAGGAATGGCAAAGAGGGTAGATGACAACCCCCCCCCCCCTCTCAACATTTTTATGACTAACCATATGGCGTCGTCATATGACACATAACCCAAAAACTGCCCCCTGACCCTCTAACGAAGTTCTACCTCTATAACGAAGTTCTACCGCCCCTGCTAGAAACCAAACCAAACCAGGCAGTGACAAGCTCTGGATGGCCAGCGTGATCCAACGAAGGCGAAAATTCGAAACATTGCACCCGGTTGCTCAATGCACCGTCCCTTATTGACGAACAGCACGAAACTTCGCTTGGGTCGTGCCTGGACAAGGCGACTTTCGAGCAGCGGCGGTCCAAAACAGGCTGCTCCGTTTACACGCGAGTGCACGGGTTTAAAACGCATTATAGTCTGAAAGCCCCTGCCTGAAGCAGTCCTAACCAGGCTCATCCTCCATCCTGCTGAAATACAAGACCCGCGACGTCAAGTGGAACAGCTGATGGCTTTCATCGGCCATCCGGACAGAAGGACGTCAGTACAGCTTGCTTACTTATTACAAGCCCAAAACTTCGACTTACCTGATGACGTTGAGATGCGTTTGGTTGATTTACCCGGGCTCACTCCATTATTACTAATTCTGACACCGACTTTGCAAAACAGCCGGCCGACCGCCTACAACACTCCACGACTAATAGTAACAGCTTCAGTTGTCTGACGCTAGGTGCCACTACTAGTCAACAAACGATAGAAAACTAAGGTGAGATTCGCGAGGCGCCTGCGACTTTAACAAGGACTGGTTGAACCATTTGGTTGAAGGTGTTATGAAAAAGAAAAACATAAATTCCTAAGGCAGATCAATTCTCAAAAAACTAATTTGATTAAAGCCTCTTGTTTGCGCTGAACAGCAATAAGTGTTGATCAGCAGCTGTTGTCTAATTCAAAATGTAGACAAACATACCGCACAAGAGTCGTTCTAGTGCCGGACACTACAGGGAAGCCCGGAATCAGACCAGGGCCTTATACGTATGCGGATACAGATACAGTTAAGGATACAGTCTTTGGAACAGGGTGTCTGTGCTTGGGCGTATGTAGGACATTGGTCTGCGCGTTGCTGTCATCCAGGGTGGTGTAGCCTGCGTGCAGGTAAACCCCATTTACCTCTGGTGGGTAGGTACCAAATTACAATGGTGCTTAGGCATTGGTCATGAATCATTTAGTGATACTTCGTAGTTTCTGCAGTGAAGTGTTTCCTCAGCGTGTCTTTTCACTCATATTGCATTACTTTTAGGTTAAGGTTGAGTGGGCTGTGATTATGCTTAGGTCTATTTTGTACTCCTGACCATATTTAGATGGGCCAGGAGGAGGGATTGCACCTAGGTATGGCCTGTTTGCCTAGCTTAGTTAGAAAAAAATTGCTAGTGACCTGACTTTTATCTAACAGATCTTGAGTAGTCTGAGCCTTGCTTTATATGAGGGATGCTGATCTTCCATGACAAGAGGATTGCTATTCTGCGAGAAGCATCAAAACACAGTCATGCTGCATGAAAGGTTCTGCTGCCTGGAGGAAGTAATTAAGATGAGACCTCACAAGGTTGCATGGAATATTGTGCAGATAGTCATATGTTTAGTTTTCTTCTGACATGTAAAATGGTTATTTTGGTGGTCAAATTTGTTTTCATTAGAACAGTCTATGTTCTTGTTGATGTTATGTCCATGCTCACTGCTTGGCTTTTCAGATTCAGGATTAATCATGGCATCAACAAGCAGTGGCAACAAGGCTCAGGATCCTGAACCAGGCCTGGGACCTATTGAAGAGAGGTAAGTTCCATATTATCAGCATGGTTCTATTTTATTATAAATTTGGATCTTCAAGCTTGTGCTCCTATGAGTGGATATTCTCAAAGCATATTTCATTGGTCAGATCAAATATAGCATGAGATGTTTGTGATGTGCAGGAGCAGGTCAGTGGGGGGGAGGGGGGGGCATAGATGGGGTAAAGGGGGCAATTGCCTATTTGCCTGATGGTAGGGACAAAAATGTTTTCCCAAAAAATGTTGTGAGAGGCCTGTTTCTCTCAAACCAAATGTTTTCCAACTTTCCATAGATTACAAACAAGCAGGTCAAGTGAGCCTTCATGGCTGAGCTAGGCAGTGAATTGGGCCCAGAAGACCTTTCTCTACATCAAGAGGTCCATTTTTTATTAGAGGTCACTTTTGCCAACACAGTAGCCCATGCCTTGGATCATAAGGCCCCTTTTTGGTACAAGAGGCCCACATTGTAACTAGGGGGCCGCATTCTGGGCAGTTAGGAGGCACACTCTTTTTCAGGATGCCCAATTTTTGGAACAGGATGCATTTTTTATGCATCATATGCCATGTTTCCAGATCATGATGCCCTGCTTTGCAAAAATGTGGCTCTTTGGCTGAATTTGGAGGCCTCCTTCATGAATTGGATAACATTCTGTTCCAGATTTTGGGCCCCTCTGTGCATCAGATGGCCCTATTTTCAGTTGCTAGTTTCCTTTGCTGAATGATAAGAAAGCCCTCATTCTTGGGTTTTATGTCAACATTTGTTTACTTTGATAAAATGCATGCAGCAGTTTGATAAAGGGGCACATGCTCTCAGTACCCCTCCCCTTGAAATATGGCAGAGCACAGGAGGAATCCCTGTTAGGAAGTCCCATTTTGTCCAGGATGCCCCCTTGAAAATCCCACCACCACACCCAGCTCAAAATCATGGTGCCATGCTAGGTACAGGGTAAGGAGCAAAACCAGGGGTTGCTTTGTTTTTTTCCATGAATAATCAACATTGTAATCAAGCCCAGTCTCTCAACAACACTGTTGTTGGGAGACTGGGCTTGACCAGGTCATTGTGCCCTTTTCATCAAGGTCTGCCTGAGTGCTGGTTTAACTTAATACAGTTTTCAGAAATAAGTGGGAATTATGTAAGATTTGTAGCACAGGATTCACTAGGCATGTATATGCAAGCTGTAAATGGGTAATATTGCAACATTGCAGCATGACATTCACATGTTGTTACAGTGAAAAGTTCAGCGCTCAGGTTTGGCAGAAATTTAGTGTGACAAGGGCAGTTATCATTGTCATTGTTTATTTGTGTTGCAGGGTGCATTGGCTACCATGAGCATTTTGTGCCCATTATGCTGAAGGGCACAATTGAAATGTCTATTTATAGTATTACTTGTAAAAAGACTACCTGTGAAAAAATGTTTCATCACTTATCAATAAACTTTTCTTGTCTGCTAACATTTCACAAACATCAGATATGATCAACAATGTACTTTGTGTGTGCCCCCTGTCTGTAGGGAACTCTATCTGCCCATATTATGCATGATGCTTATCCAAATTGTACACAATCATATCCTCTAAGAACATAAGTATGATTCCAAGTCTGTACATCTTGTGTCAAGTCCAGGTCACCAATCCACCCTCGTCACACTGCATGAGCCCAGTGGCAAGTCTGAGATCAGCCATTTTCGTGATTCATGAGTCAGTCTGGTTCTGAGTCCTTGGACATTGGATTTGAATCCAAGTCCATATCCAAGTCATTTGCTCTAGAGTGCGAGTTCTTCATTCACTTGCAGGATTGCAGTGGACAAAAGTAGTTTTGTGTTCATTATCAGTGATAGAGGTCAAATAAAACAATTATAACTGAGTAAGCATACAGATTGCCAAGCTTGACCTAACCTTAAGGTACCTGTTGCCCTGCGTGATGACCTGTGCCATGGCTGGAATGCTGGCCGGAAGGTAGGCATACGCTGATAACTCCTCAAGTGCTAGTGGTCGATACTTAGGTTTACACAACCCAGGCTGGACCAGTTGAACCAAACTAAATAAGCTGAACCCAACCTTCGCTAAATGGACGTATCTTTCGTATCATGGCAGTTTTTATGTAAGTCTGGACATCAGTTTTGCTATCCCTTCGCTTATATACTCACCAAATTCGACTCGATCATAATCGCTTAAAATTATGATGTCATTCATACCTCCCATGAAAATTTTAATCGTAACATCAATCAGGCTACGGCACCAATCGACTGGCTCGTGGTGCCAGTTTTACTGTCGTCATGGTAACTATATACGTGAAGGACATTAATGCCAGGTCTGTTTCATCAGGCATGTTGTTTTGCGTTTGACAAGGCGCTTGTCTACAGAATCATGGAGCTGTGTCGTCAATACCCCAAAGGCATCTCCGATAAAATAATACAGAACGACAACCCGCAGCTGGAACAGAAGGAACGAGTTTCTGCCGTCAATAACCTCCTAGCTGCGGTATGTATTTGTTTTACTGTGCGATGACATTTGGTTGACGCATGGAAAGTAACGCTTTGTGCTTATGTGATAGCCCGTGTGTATTAGGTTGCTTTAAAAGGAATAGAAGCTCGTTCAGGGAATTTGCTTGAGCATCAGCGCTTTTCCTGGTAAGGCACTACGAATGGGTAAGCGGTATGGTGTGGTAGGAATACATGATTGCTGTGTAAAGGTGACCTGCAGATGTTCGTCATCATTCAGTGTATGCTGATTATTTTGTTTCCTATAGCTACGAGAAGTGTGATGTTTTCAGGGGCACATCGACCTTTTCAAGCAGGGCACGGAGTTGATATATCGCCTGAAAGGCACTAGCAGGGCGAGAGGCGGAGATGCAGAAGAGAAGATTGTGTACGGAATTATAGAGGAGGCTGGTAACAAGGCAAGATCAGCGCTTTCGCATTCGTTTTGCTCCTCATGTTGGTGTCGTCGGCAGCCCTTTCTGCCGTGGCCAGTGTCATGTTTTGACAATTGTGGGACATGTGTGCGGAGGACTTAATCGTTGCCGGCTCGATCGGGTTAGCTGAGTTATGTCGGTAGCATTATAAACATTCCTCAATGCTGTTCCACTTGTGGTCGGGGACAACGTCAGATAGTCCGAAAGTTGTGGTGTTACTCTGATCAACAATCCGAGTATTGCGAGCAGTCTGCTTACGGCACATAATGTCTCGTTCCTCTGTTAGGCCCCAACATCTACATAAAAGGCCAGTGTCGCGGCTAGGGTCGATTGGATTGCTTTGCTTTTCTTAAGTAAATGCTCCATCAGCCCGTGCCATCTGCGTTGTATACGTGGTCGTGCGCTCTGCCCATCCGTTCGAACAGTCCATGCGGTTTCAGGGAATATGGATCCGAGACATACGCTTCAAGTCGAATCTGGGTATGACGCAACTGAACAAGCTATTGAAAAACATGGAGGGGAAGAAGCTCATCAAGTCGGTGACATCAGTCGCGGTAAGAACGTAATGTATCAACCTTGTATAGTTTTGATGCGTCGTGAGATTTGATAGGATTCAGTTGAGATCTGTTACGAAATATATTTTGATCGTTTTACATGATGTTTATCATCTCTCAACTCCACTTTTATCAGTGTGCAGGGTTCCTTTGTAAATTACCTGAGAGTTTGTTGTCTTGATCGTTAAAGGGAATGCTTCACATTTTAAGATATTGAAGCAAGCATCAGATATGACGAATTGAGCTCACTGAAGTATTGATATACTTTTAAGTGGAGGACTGCTGTAGACCTCATTGTTTCCCTGTTCAGAGCAAATATGTTTCTCAGTGGTCATTGTTTTATTATGTTATCCCACCTCGCATGTAATTTATTGAGAGCCAATTGACGGCTGTTATATCTTGAAATCGTGCTCACTAGGGCCAAATGTGAACGAATCGACAAGTATCTTTGTCTTGACTTTGATTTCCGCATTGCTTATAGAATGACCTAGTTTGAATGACGTTATTGTATCGTAATGGATGGCTGGCTGACCTTGAAATAGTCTCCCCGAATAAGTCGGCACATTTTTGCGGGCGTACAGCCCAGAAACTAGAGGGGCTTAGGTCTTAAGAAGCGAAGGACCGGGTACCTGCACCGAATGATCTCCAAGATGGCCATTTCAGTTCAAAACTCCATGCAAATGTGGAACACTCCCCTTGGGTGTAGTTGTGAGGAACATTGAATACACACAAGAGCAGCTCTATTACCTGCATTCCTAGCTGGATTAAGGCAAGATGAAAAAGACGAGTGTATGTTGATATTTCAACAATAAGTCTTTGTTGAAATAGCACAGGGACCAGCAGTGAATTCAAGTCATGCTGAAAGGCTGGTGTGCAATGTCATCATCGGTAGCACCGTTTCAAGCTGCCAGCGCATGCGACACGTCTTCGGAAAACACGGACACAGACGAGATCTTGCCAACCTGGAGACGTTCCGTGGGTGAACTGGTGAATGTGTTGGATTCAGCTGCTCGGATTCACCGTTTATCCATGCACTCTTTCACTAAAGAGTAGTAGCGGAAACATGAGCATATGTATATATATATATATATATATATATATATATATATATATATTGTGTGTGTGTGTGTGTGTGTGTGTGTGTGTGTGTGTGTGTGTGTGTGTGTGTGTGTGTGTGTGTGTGTGTGTGTGTGTGTGTGCGTGCGTGCGTGCGTGCGTGCGTGCGTGCGTGCGTGCGTGCGCGCGCGTGGCGTGGGCGTGGGCGTGGGCGTGGGCGTGGGCGTGGGCGTGGGCGTGGGCGTGGGTGTGGGTTTGTGTATGCATATTTTTATCACTTTGTATCTATTCAACAATGACTAAGGTCAAGAGAACCGCATTAAACATTTTGTAACGTGCAAGACGTCGTACGATAAGCCACCGTACCTGTTCGTTTCCACAGCCACGATTATCCGTTTAGAAGGATTCGCCCTAGTAAAAAATCGTTTTTCCTTTGGTGGTCAGCGCGCATGCTCTCGATTCGCTTCGCATCATTCGTGTTCAGTTGTTTTGTTGTCTTTACGCTGCCACATGTCGCTTTGCCAGCTTTGATCTGACACTGGCCCAATGGGAATTGAGCACGATCAGCTGGCGACCTCATTACGGCGGCGTTTTGAACCATAGCGTCACGACCGCAGACGAACCGCAACAGTGGCATTAGTGCTGGTGTTCGAAGTGTGTGGGGCTGGAGAACGGCTTTTAAGTGAAACTTTCGGCTCATTCTGAGATAAATTGAGTCAGGAGCGTCTTTTGGCAGACCAGCACTAAATGCTGGCAGGCCATGATGAAGGTTGTGGTCTTCGGGCAGGGCACTTCTCTTACCACGCTGCCAAATAGGTCATTATTGTGTCTATGTGCATTCCTAGGTTCCTGGTACGCGTTTGCGCTGGTCGTCGCGTTGGGAATCGTTGAAATACGTATCAGTCGAGAATCGAACCCGGGGCCATTCTGATCACATTCTACGCCGTCGTCGGCAGGCGTCCCGGAAGAAGGTGTACATGCTGTACGACATCGAGCCGGACCAGTCGGTGACGGGCGGCGCCTGGTACTCGGACCAGGACTTCGAGTCCGAGTTCGTCGAGGTGCTGAACCAGCAGTGCTACAAGTTCCTGCTCCAGCGCGCTGACCAGGCGCTGGCCAGCTCGGACGGCCCGATGGCCGTGCGTAACCTCTCCTGCGCGTCCTCCAAGGAGATCGCCAACTACATTTCCGAGCTGGGCATCAGCAAGGTGCGTGACTTGGGGGGGGGGGGGGTGAGGGATGGGGAGAACGGAGAACTCCTGCTGTTTGCTTGCTTGCCACAGGGTCAGACGGTGGTGGATGGGGTGTTGAGGTAGTGGTGGCGGAATCATGCAGAAGCCCTCCTTCTGGCAAGCATGGGGACGAAGCCAGGCGTCTGGCTGTGAAGCCGAAATCCGGAGCCAGAGCAATGATTCGAAGTGACGCTTCTTATGCTTACAGACCCGGGCCGCTGGTTTGATGCGGAGTGATGGATCACACTACTTTTCTAACGAAGATCCCATTGCCCCAAACGTGGTGCCCGCTTTTCCTGCCTGGATGAGAGGCAGGCGCCATATAACCTCATCAGCTGAATGCGTCGTAAAGCCCCATGACGCAGCTACTCTAGATTTCCAACGGCTGGTTTGAGAACCATCTGGAGGAGCATGCAAAGGAAGTGAGAGTGATAGAAACGTTTTCTAGACCATAAACACCACTATTGACATTTCAGGGCTCCCACCTCGCTCCTTGTTATTTGACATAATCAGTAATGGTCCCACTCTTCATATACCATCTGAAATCAACGGCTTCTGCGTAGCAGTAGCCCGTTACCCTGACTACGCGCAGATTGCCACCACTGGAGCCTTAGCAGGCTGTCAGGTCTCAGGCAATATTTGGAGATGGTTTTGGACACAATGTACACGTGGTTTCTTCAATATGGCATGATGATTGACGCTGGTAAGACGGATCCCTTACTTTGCGGAGAGAGGCGCCAACTCAGCCAGATCATGATCCACCCGTCGTCATGTGTCAATTGATAAGCCTCTCCGATGACCAGGTAGTGCCAAACATTTAGGTGTGATTAAAGATCCTGCATTTCCCTGGGAACTGCACGTGAGCCATGTAGCTAGGCGTTGTTTTGGCATCTTTTGTCGTTTTCCTAAATGCTAAACACTTGTTACCTTCCGATGTTTTGCCATGCATTATTGTCACGTGTGCTCTCACACATCTGTTATTGGGCTCAGGTATATGCGGGCGCGAACAGCACGACTGTTGCAAAATTGCAGAACGTGTTTATCTTCGCAGCTAGGATCATCCCGGTACGACGTAAATTTGACCATGTGCCGGATGGTCCACGACGGTTTGGCTGGCTTACTGCTCAAGGCTCATTGATTGACTTCTTCGGCGTGTGCCTTTAAAATAACGCACTGAGCAACTGGCGGCCGGAGACCTCACCCTCCCAGCTCTCCAGCCGTCAAAACACGGAGCGCGGCACACATCAGTCTTGTCATTTGTATCCGCCTCGCCCCAGGAACAACCATGGGAAGCGAGCATATGCCTACCGAGCTGAACGCATGTCCAGCGAGCGCGTCATCAGTAACAACATTGCGGACTTGCCCCTTTCTACTTGCAAGACCCGTGTCCATGACATTTTCAAAGTACCTGATATTTTAACATTTTGGTTATATCTCCCTGCGCCGTGCTGATGCTTGCTGCATTGTAACTGTCAATGCATCTGTTGATGAAAGTCTAAGAATAGCCCAATAAGGCAGAATGACCTTAAAGTTCAATAAAATACAACACAATAACGCGAAGCGGAAGTGGAAGCCAAAGTCGCTGACTTGAAATTTTGGAGCTGCAAAGCCAAAGTCCACGCCAGTAGTTACATTTCTTTTAAACACAATGTCGAATCCGAACCCAGCTTCTTCGACTTTATTTACGAGAAGCTGAAGCGGAAGTTTGCGGCTTCGAAATTGGCAACGCGATGCCTGAGCCAAACCCACCAGTTTAAAGCCACAAGGCCAAAGCTGAAGCCGAATCTTGTGTTAAGCATTATTCTGCGGAGCCAAACCATTTTGGCATCCTCCAAAACGGCATGGGATCAGTAAATACCACAAGGTTTTTGCTGAATTATTTAGACAGTGTTTTAGCATTACGGATGAGGGATAATAATGTCCTTTTCTTTTATGTTGACCAAAACACACGTTTCGAACAGCCATTTCTCCGGCCGTGGCTGGTGTTGATTGGTCCTGAAAATGGCCAGCTGATAGCGTTGTGTGCGTCGCCGCCGTGACGTGTTGTTTGGTATATTGGGGTGAGGGTACAAGCAAGACTATTTTTGCGAAGTAAAGTCTCAAATGCAGTGGAAAAGTCACAATCATAACCAAAGCGAGTAGTTTGAACCTAAGCCGGAGCAATAATTCAGAATGTTCGAAGCCGAAGCCAGAGCCGATCGGTTCAAATGGTGCGAAACGGATTGGAAAGGCATTGGCTTCGCGGCGAAGCCGAGGCCGAAGGCGGCTCGTCCCTCGCCTGCTTCCTGGACACGTGTGATTGTCCTGAGTGAGACGTACTATCGTGAGGCTCATCTCGTCGCGAGGTCGTGCTCGGCTCACCTGGCAATGATTAGGTGAGGAGTGCATGCTGATTGATGCTCTGTGTCGTCGTTCATGGTACAGAAACAGGAATGATCACGGAGGTGGTGAAAGGGTCCATCGTGTCACAAGCTTGTCGTTAACGCTCCCTTTTGTGCCACCTTTTTGGTCGCTCGCGGAAAATCTTCTTTGCGCTTTCAGGCCACTTGTAACATGTTCAGTGTCCGCAAAAGCTCATCATGTCGGATTTCGATCCCGCTACTGTCAGTTTTGAACTGTTTCGTTCTCTTGTTTTGGGATATGTAGGTTGAAGCTCCATGGCGAGGCTAGCCATTTCAGCTCATGGATACTCTATATTGCTCGCCACTAAAGCGATTAATTAACTGTTAAAGTGGTACGAGAAGAATTGGTGTTGAAACCCGTCCACTGTATTTAGATTCCTGTCTTCCATATATGAGCCTACAGTCATGAATTGGGCACATGCCACGTTTCAGTCCGTGCATGCCGGCAGCCGCTGACAAACCGTGCTATGTGCGCGTCTGCCGTGCCTGTGCTGGCAGCGACAGATCCTCCCGGTTGGAGGCACAGTCACGCCAAAGCTGCTTGTATGCACGCTGAGAAGGAGGGGGGGGGGGGGGGGGGGGCAACCAGCCAGCCCGCGTCGGCCACCACAACATAAACAGCCGCCCTACCCTTCCAACGCAGCTCTCCCCGTATTCTGTCGTGGGGTTCAATTGAAGGGCACCTGTCGGCCTGTCGTGCCGCGATGCCCGGCCTCCTTGCTCTCAGGCCCCGCCGCCACATGCGCTGTGGCCTCCCGCCGGCAGCCTCCCGCCCGCGCCTCCCGCCCACGCCTCCCGCCGGCAGCCTCCCGCCCGCGCTTCCCGCCGGCAGCCTCCCCGCCGGGCGGCGAGGCTCGCGCACCCGCCGTTAGCGCAGCGCGAGCGTGAGCAGAGCCCCGGCCAGGGCCGCCACGAGCACGGTCTGCACGGTGCGCGCTGCCTCCGATTTGATGTTGTCTTTGAACTCGGGCACCACGGTCAGGTCCGGCTCCAGGAAGTTGGCATATCTGGAATGAGGCCGGCGGCGGTCAGGCGATGTGCATGAAGTGGGTCGCGAGCTGTTCAGAACCAAGACACTCGTTGTTCACGCGTTGGCTGATGACGCCGGCTGTTTCGACAGATGTTGCGTTCTACTGTGCCGTTCTCATGCCTGACTGTACACTCGGAACGCGATGTTCTGGGCTCATGCGCCCTGCAACATTGCTATCCAAAGAAGCAATCCAAACTTGTGTGTCTAGGAAGCCGGCAGGCGGATTTTATGCGTCCCATCACCGTTATCACCAGTGGTGGACTTCAGTCGCATGGATGCTGCGCGGGGTTTTGAATTCGTGACTTGTCTTCACTTTTATCCGTATCGGAGATCAGTGAAAATGCCAAGCCTGTCAGCCGGTTCAGCATTTTCACTGATCGTCGTGCACTCAGCACAGCATTCGTAAACGAAGATGTGTCCCGAAACAGCACCGTCGCACCCCAGCTTGACGTCACCACGCGCCGTGCGTCCGCTCACCGGTACTGGTAGTCCTTCCGTGGTCGCAGCCCAGTCTGACCTCACCACGAGCAGTGCGTCCGCTCACCGGTACTGGTAGTCCTTCCGTGGTCGCAGCCCAGTCTGACCTCACCACGAGCAGTGCGTCCGCTCACCGGTACTGGTAGTCCTTCTGCGGCCGCAGGGTGTGATAGTCGATGTCGCCGTCCTTGAGCGGCCCGATGGCCCAGATGATGCGGTACGTCTGGTTGGTGATAGCGACGTCCTGTTCGTCGCCCCGTGGTCAGGTTGCGGTAGAAGGTGGCGTGGATCTCGCCGTCGTCGTGCAGGCCGCAGTGGTCGCAGACGATGCTCGTCTTGCTGTCCTTCCGCGGCTTGTTGGTGATGGAGTCGCCGAACCTGTCGGCGCGGGTTGCGGTGGCCAGTCGGCCCAGTGGAGCGGACGGTGCTCAGCGCTTGTTGGTGATGGAGTCGCCGAACCTGTCGGCGCGGGTTGCGGTGGCCCAGTCGGCCAGTGGGGCGGACGATGCTCAGCGCTTGTTGGTGATGGAGTCGCCGAACCTGTCGGCGCGGGTTGCGGTGGCGCAGTCGGCCCAGTGGAGCGGACGGTGCTCAGCGCTTGTCATCAGGCAATTTTTGCGGCGGTCTGCGTACGCATTGACGTTATGGGTGGCAACGGGCTTTTTGGGCTGATACGCCAACTTTGATAGCCGATAGATGCCAAATATTGCGGTTCTTGAAACGTGAGTGATCGAGGGAAGATATTTCTACATGTCTTCAGATTTTTATTTTTGGGTGCTGACGTGATGAATGATCCATTCACAGCATTGAAAAACAAAAGTTCTGAATAGCACGTAAACATACGATGAAGCAAACACATGCATCTGCCGCCGTCACCCGATGGCGACCGGGACTGCAATGCAAACACCGTTACATCTGCCCTCGACACACCGATCTGCCGCATTGGTCCAGCCCGCCGCTGCGTCTGCGGCCGTTAGTTTCGCCGCACCTGTCGTCGACTGTGTCGCCGTGGGCCGTGTAGATGTCCGAGTTGAACATGTTCTTCGTCTTGCCGGCGGAAAGGCCCGGTTTGGTGAGACCGAAGCCGCAGTATTTCTCGGCGCTCAGCTTCATGCAGTTCAGGGTGAACCAGATCGAGTCGTCGTCATATGTCTGCAGCATCAGCAAGGGTTCCGCTGATCGTATCATTTCCCTCTAATCTAAATTCCGAGAAGAAATGCAATGGACACGTATGGCAGCGTCACTGTTTTGCAGGATGGAATTGTTGGTGGTTCATTGCATCTGAACCACGGGCGCATTTGGTACTTTGCCTTCAGGTGGCATTGCGCCATGCTTTTATTCTGAACACCGACTGGAGCAGAACTTGTGTCAAGCTGTTGGATGTGCGTTCAATGATATCGAAGTGGTTGCGCTCCTGCTAGGCGAGGACTTTTATGACTGGGAGTAGCAAAACCGTGGGGTTCGTTATTAAGCGCTTTGTTTGTGCATGAAAGAAAAATGTTTGTTTCACCCGAGGAAAGATTCACGCAGTGCAGCGCTGCTGGGAATTGTCATCGATTTTCAGCGTCTGGTACCACGCACGTTACCTACTGGCTGACGAACCAGATATAAGGGGGGGGGGGGAGAAAACTTTTGCTTGCGAGAAGAAGTGAACACATGTTATTGAAGTGTGCACGGTTGGAGGCAGAAGCAGTGTTGTAACATGTTGCATCGATGACACATTTATCATTCAAAGTAATTGGCAGTTCCCAACACCGTGGTTTATGCCCTATCGATGACGAAGTGCAGATTGAGATCCTGCTAGAGATGAAGATGCTGACTTTATGTGATCCGTTGCGGCCTTCATGTTGGGCATTAACAGCCTGTTAAAATTGTGTTTTTCTTTCGACAGTTTTGTGCTGCAAAATAATCCCACGAACGGTGTCTTTGCAAACCCTTTTTATTCACTGTGCATATGACGCATAAAAGCCTACCGACAGCGGCGGTACCATCAAAGGGGAAGGGGGCCGTTAGACATATGCCCTATGGCTGCATGTAGGAGAGGTGTCACCGGGGAGGTTATGTGTGATGGTGACGCGTCCCATGCAAAGATGCAAATCTAATGTGACGGCTGTAGCGACGCATTCAAATGATGCACCTAAAATGCCCCATGTTCTGCATTATGAGCAGGCAGCGCCGTCCTGGGATGGAGACGTGTTTCCTTTTAGTCATAAGTGATGCGTCACTTGTCTTTGCCAACTTACCCGCCATCCCAGGTATGCATCCGGGTTTGAATGGAATTGAATTACGTGAGTTTTATCTTCATTTTCATGAATGCCAGCTTCTTTCATATTACCTGCCACTAAGTTTGCGGAGTACAGTGAAAATAAGAGAAAGTACGACATCTGAGGACACCACATCTGCTTTCGACACAGAAAACTTGCTGAACGCGCAGATCTGATGCAGATTAGCGGAATAATGAAGGATTAAGGTGTGTTCACATGCTGCGCCTTTCCGTCACGAAGACAACGCTATAGCTAAGTTAATCTCGTGGGGAACTGCGCACAGCGGCCTTGCTTCGCCGCCTGCCCTTAGTTCCTCACAACCAGTCTCACAACGCCCTCGTGAAAGCTGTGTTGTTGGGGCTGATTTTTTACGGTCCATGCGGTTTGCACGAACTCGCCTCTTCTGATCCGAAGATCTCACATACAGTGGATATGTCGAACGTATGAATAGGCATGTATTGTGCATACTCTGACATCGTTGTTTGCTATCGGCCGTACGTGCCGCACTTTGTGATGAGCATTATTTTTAACGTGCAGCTAGCGTGTCGAACGTCATAGGTGTTTGCTTCTAGGCCGTTGCTTCCAATGATGGTTGAAGGGAATTAGATGATTTTCATGGTCTTATCAAATGGGCAAGGCTATAAGCGGTACCCCCATTTTGGCTGCTAAAACAGCGGCGGCCTGTGCCGGGTAATCAGCGGAGGTGTTCATCATTGGGGAAATCCACCAACTTTGGTGAACATGATTATTGTTTATAGTTAGATGCTCCGTCGGCAACAATTGATGTTTCATGCAATGCGATGCCTTGATTGATGCAGCCGGTCCATTTTGCATGCAAGATTAAGCAACATTTAAAACCGACGTGTCGAAAACGAAACAGCCAGGGATCCTGCCCTCCAACAGAGTGGTTCTTCGGTCTTTCTTTCTCTGAGATTGGTAATGGCCGTGTCGACGCCGAAAGCGAAGCCATCGCTGCTGCTTCGAATTGTCTGCAACTGGAATAGGACCGGCCTTGTTTCGTCGATGTGGTGTCTAAGCATTGTTAGTCGTGCACCTTATGCTTTTACTTGATAAGCAAATTGTCCGCTTTCACCCCTCGGCGAAAATATGTTATGTAGTGGATATGAGGTGGATATGAGGTCCAGACACGTCACGGCTCTTTCACTGGGGCCTCCAAGTAAATGCACCGAATCGGACAACAATCGGACCAATAATTACCCAAACATTTGCGTTCATTTGCTCGAAAGCGGTCGACATATAGGCTCCATTAGTTTTCACGATACCTAATTTCCGGCCGAACAAGACGCTTCTTGGTTGACGCTTGTTGGCTATTTTAACTATTATAACAAATAGCTGGTTTGCTTTCTACATTTGCGATCATATAACGAATAAGCCTTCGGTTGGTACTCTAAAAAATATTTATCATGAAACCAACGGCAGCGAACTTACGAACTGCCATGAACTGCCATCGTAGACGAACAGCATACCTCGCTGCATGCTGCAAAGTGCCTGTTTATACTCTTGTGGGAATGATGCCATCTATTTCCAGCGAAGCCCGCTTGTCGAGTGTCCGAATTCTGTTGTGCCCTGCTCATGCATTACACATGGAGGCCTCAAGCAAAGGACACTGAACACCCCTCGTGGTCGTATAACGGAACCGCTGTGCCCCCCCCCCCCCCTCCCGATGAACCCCAGCCAGGGGCGGTGCTACGGATTTTGAGAAGGGGGGGGGGCAGAATTTTCCAGAGGGCCTCCTGGACAAAATGGGGCCTCCTCACAGGTAGCCTCCTATGCGATGTCGTATTCAGGGAGGAGGGGCACCGAAAGCATTTGCTCCCTTATCAAACTGTGGCATATAACATATCCCGGTAAATAAATACTGCCAGTTTAAAGTTGTAGAATGGGGGCCTTCCGAATATCTAGCAAAGAGCATCTTTAACCGAAAACAGAGCCTCCTGTTCAAGAAAGGGGCCTCCTAATCTAGACTAGGCTGCTTACGTTTCACTAAAGGGTCTTCAAACCGAGCCAAGGGGCCTCGCTACCCCAATCCTTATCCGGAACCGCGGCCATCTGGCACATGAAAGGGGCCTCCCGTTTCAGACATTGGGCCCCCTGAATGAAGAAGTTGCGTCCTAAACCTGAAGTGCCTTACAGTTTGTAACGGGCGCCTCCCGAGCCAGGAAAGTGACCTCTGCAAGGCAACATCGGACATCGTGATCTAGAGCATTGGCTTTCTTATTGATAAAGGTGACCTTGAAGACCGCTTTCAGTACCCAGGGAATGAGGTTTTTGATGTAGCAAAAGGTCTTATGGGCCCGATTTATTACTCTAGCTCAGTTATGAAAGGCCTCTGGTCTGAATTTTGATACGGTTCATGCATCTGCAATGCCTCTAGCTACGAAAAAGGGGCCTCTCCATTTTTGGTCGGGGGAGGGGGGCAAAACATACTCTTGCCCCCTTGCCTGCCGACAGAGAGGGGAGGGTCAGCCCTTCCCTCTGCCTTCCCTCCCCCCCCCCCTCCCCACTGCGGCAATACCCCTGACCCCAGCCACTCCTGCGCCGCGCAGGTGAGCTTATCCGTGCCAGACATCGAGAAGATCCTCGACACGCTCATCTACGATGGGAAGGTGGAGCGGCGGCTGCAGGCAGGCAGCGGCTCGGAGGACCAGCTCAAGCTGTACCGCGCCACGCAGACGCTGCTGCCACCTGTCGGCCTCATCAAAACCCCCTGCGGTATATGTCCGGTGAGAGGCGCCGCTGCAGTGGGAGGCCTCGTGAATGAAGTGTATTTGTGTGGCGGCGGACCATCCCGGCGCGCTCTCTATCCTTGCTCCCAGCGGTGTACCCGCAACACGAAGGATATCAAGCATGGGCGTCGTATAACCATTGCAGTCGGTGCGCACCAAAGCCCAAATCATTATCAAGGATACGAAGCGTTTTTGTGTATGGGTGATGCCCACGACATGCCACGTTCGTAGTGTTACTATCATCTCAGTCTTGGTTAATCAACCTACGGAGCTTTCTCTCAGATGTTTTGCTTTGGTTGCAGACGGCGCGGTTACCCAGTGTTTATCTTTCCAGGTCATCGACCAGTGTTCAGACGTCGGGTCAGTGACACCACAACTCTGCATGTACCTGAAAGAATGGCTGGAATAAAGCCACGTTATGAGAACCTGGTTTGTTCTGCGACTCCATTGCCCTCCAGGCGGTTTTTCGTCGTGCTGGGTACGCCCCCGTTTATCAAACTATGCGTTGTAACTGCTCGACAGCATTGCCAGAAGCGTTTCAGCCAGTTTCAGTCAACAACGGACAATGGACAAGCCAGTCACGCTTTATTAGCATATTGCATGCAGCCACCACGTGCCATTGGAATCTTGATCACACTATCCATCGCCGCATAAATATACATAGCATAACATAATCAGATCGTGAAACGAATATAATGTAACGCTATTTGGATTCAAGCTTGGAACTCCAGAAGCAACACGCATAGCCCCGCAGAAAATGCATAGCCGCGCTAAGACGCTAATGGTAGTTAGATACAATAGTACTGGATTTCAATAAAGTCGTGCCACTATCTGATAATGGGACCAGGCTCGAACCACCTTCGCCATGCGAACCACGACACGGTATCTATCTTCATAGTCATGATGGGGGGGGGGGGGGGATATGCTAAAGAACTATTTCATTCCTCTCTTAAGAGACTTTGGGCTTAAGTACGTTGGTTCCTCGCTAATGAGACTACTTTCAGACAATCCTTAACACCAAATATAAGCCGTGCAGTCATACGGTTTTCAGGTACTTCACATGCGTACTTTTCGACATAATTTCACGTTAAATTTCTAAATGACACCCATTTTCTCTTATTCCTAGTCCGCCAGGCCAAACCCCAAGCTTGTATTCTACTCTGTGCAGAGCATGCAACAGACACGAAGCTGTTCAGTGCCTGTTTACACCACAAGAGCGGCAAACAGCGTAATCATAGCCCGCCACAAACAACTTGGGGACTAGCCTTGATACATTGATGTCGCCATAGTCCAGCAACGGCATCCAGTTCTCCTCCCAGTTCGAACCTCGCCAGCCTTTGGTTTACCCTAGTTTCACTAATCGCAGTACCTTCTACCAAGCCGAGGGACTCCGCCACAGTAGGGCCCTTTGTCGCCCTGCCATGTGCGTATGACGAGAATCAGAAACTGCAAACGCACACAGTGACTGCAACGGCATAAGGCAGTCGACGTGAAAACCTCTCATCACGCGCGAGGCCAGCGACTTGTCAGAAAGCAAATCGGTGACTAGAAGCGCGTCACCCCGCAACAGGTGCTCTTCACAAGGCAGCAACTCGGTGTCAGCAGCGACGGCGGCTCAGGGCCGCGTCTCGGAAGCCACAGGCTGTCCCGAAACCACGCCCGCGTCCGCCGGCGGCTGGTCGGATGCCAGCGCCGCGGCGGCGCCCGATTGGCCCGGCGGCGATGTGGGCGGCTCTGACTGGCCGGCGGGGACCACGTACGCCGCCTGATTGGACACCGAGTTGGTCCGCGCCGAGCCGGGTGTCCAGCCGGCGGACTCGAGGTCGCGCTGGTGCTGCTCCTCTTCCTCCTGGCGGCGGAATGATCACGTCGTTAGAGACCTGTGACAATGATCCGTCGCTGCACGGCTGTCACACGCAACATCACTGATGACAAAACAAAACAAGTCAATCCAAGACATATATTCAGTCATTGGGGCTTTACGCCGCACTCCGGCTGAGGCTATGTGACGTCATCTGTCTCTCGTCCTTGCAGAAATCGAGACCGCAGAGAATCGAACTCTGTATCTCTAGTTTCCCAGACGCGCAGCGTTATCACCGCTAACCGTTACACCATTGGCGCACCATCGCATCGACCTAAATAACATGCAAACACTTACTGGGTCGTGACGTCATCAGATCTGGAACTGCCAGTTTCTTAACGCTTGCCAGAACTGAGCAAAAACGTCAAGCTCTCCGTTTTATTTTAGGAACTTTGGTTTCGTATTCAGTTTCTTTTAAGCTAAGTTCGCATCAGAGTACACCTTTGAAATTTGGTTGCATTTTTTGTCATGAAGGAAAATGCCTGAGGTACTGGGCCGCTGCGGCTGCTCACTTTTTTCTTTAAAAGATCATTGAACAGGAAGGGCACGTCAGTTTAAGCCCTCAGAACCATCAAAATTAGTGCTCGTAGGTATTTCGAAATGTGTTAATACCATTATACATGAGCATTGCAATTGCAAGACCATACGATATCAAGGTGATAAGAGGCCAAGAAACGACCCAAAATAACCTCGCATTACCCATTTGAAGCAAGGGATGGCTTTCTTTAAGCTGCATCAGCTTTGTTCCGTGCGCATGCGCAAGGCTACTTAGACGTGACAGGTACACACTTTGGCATCGCTTGAACCGGCGTCCTGACCGGCCGCAAGGGAAAATGTCCAATGGCCAACTTGTGGATCACGTATAAGGACACTGCCCGCTTCTCGATTTACTACTGTATCTAAATGGGTATCGGATCGGCGAGCGGGCCCCCCCCCCCCTTGCTGCTGCGAAAACGTGACGGAACCGGGAAGATGACACAATTAAGGGCACCGTCAGCAAAAAAAAAAAACAATGCATTATAACACAACTGGCAAGACTGGCCTGCTAGCTTTGTGTAGGAGCACTCCTTTTAACGCAAACCAAAGAACGCGACATGACTTCATCCTATACGACCCCAGATAGCCAAAGAGCCACGCCAACGGCTGGCTAGGGCGTCGCTGACCTTCCTCTTCATCTCGTAGTACTCGTCCAGCTCGTACTGGTACTTGGGCGACGTGATGCCGAGCATGTACGCCAACCGCTCGCCCACGCTGTCCACGCCGCTCAGTGTGCTGTAGCCGGCGAACCGGAACCAGTACCAGGCCCACGGCATCCAGCCCATCGACTTCTGGCGGACGGGCGGGGCGCGGGGTGTGGGCGTCACCGGCAGAAGGGAGGGGCTTTCGCGTGAATGCACGAGATCGAGTGGAAAGGAACTTCTGCCGGATACGACATGAGCCTTAGCTGCGTAATGCGATACTTTGCAGTGCAGTTGGATTACGTACATTAACGGTCAAAACGTTCAGTTAGCAAGGCTGAAGAACATCACGCACCACGAGGAAACTGATAACACGCTCATGGCGCATGTGCGAGGTTAGGCCTTAAAGCCTGCAGATTATGCTAAAAAATCAGTATGAACTAGCATGTTTTGTCAGAACGTAGCACCCCACACCCCTGCACGTCCTTCGAGATTCACTTGCCCCTGCAGAGAACAACATCGCAAAGCTGTCATCTCCGCCGCCTGAGCTGGCGTCAAAACGCTTATATGAGCGGCGCAGATAAACCATTCTGATGCGCCAAATGTGAATAAGCTTTGAAACTGCCGACAAACTTCACCTACCAAAACGACGCAAGGTTCTGCCCCAACCACCGCCAGACATCAGCCGTCGCCTGACTGTGCAGCCCGCTAGCCGTTCACGCATCACAAACACCCAGCATGCCCGCGCGCCGGCGCTCCGTCGCCGCCGCAGCACAGCCTTGAGCCGTCCGCCGGTGCGCGGCGGCGGTCGTACCGTGTCCGCCGCAGCGCAGCTGCGTCAGCGTGTCCGGTGGCTTGTCCGGCTCGTCCTCCTCGTCGGTGCTGTACTCCTCCATCGTGCCGTCGCTGAAGTGAAGTACGCGCCGCGGCACGCGCGCCTTCTTGCCGTCCACGCGGTCGGTGGGCACCTGAGAACGGGAGCCAGGGGACTGGCTGATCGCGTGCTGCAGTCTGGGGCGGAAGGCCGGTCAAAGACGTGCCAGCATTTCTATTCATGCTCGCAAATGCTCAGCCACCATGCCTATAAGTTTTCATATTTCATGGAACAAGAGCACCATGAAAAGCTGTAATAAACATTGAAAGGGTAGATTGTATTGTTGCTAGTTCTGGCATAGACAGTTCAGGTTACGTATAAAAACGACAGTGGTGAAATATTGCTAATCAATAGCACAAGGCTGGCAAGACTAAGCTTTTTGGAAAGAGCATTAGGACTGAGGGCCAGCAGCCTACTGTTGCATGGATGTTCTGACACTCAGACCTCCCCCAAATGCCTGTTAATGCATACCTTGTATGAGACAAAACTATAGTTAAGGTTCAATGTTATTGGCAATCATGTGAAATATGACATGTGAGGTGAGACAAGACACCAGTAAATATGTTTACCTTTTCAGACACAGTAGGCACAGCTGATGGGCTTGAAGGCTCCTCCTGCTGATTACTTGCATCACCAGCTCCCTGAGGCCCAATTGACTGGAAGAGCATGGAGTTAATTGGTATTTATGTGACCATTATCAGACCATTTTACAGCACACAATGACAACAGTTATTGCCGATCTTCAAAATGATGCATCTATAATCCCCCAAAGACAAAGGTAACTTCCAATGTCCCCAGTAAATGGACAATGAACGCCATAATGGTGATAGCTTCCGCATGGTAAAACTCACTGTTGATGCCAAATATAGAACAATTATGTAATAATGCAACCCCAGTTACTTCATGTTACATTGACCACACATATCATTTAATGATTCATTTTCTAGTTGATTTTATTTTCCTTGCACTACCTTCATAGTACACAATAAATGGTAATATTGTGGAAATGTTCGTTTAAGCTGTGCTTTTGCCACATCATTATAGACATCAAGACATTACATCACAAGCTGTCCTTTCCGATGACAAATTATGTTTATTCATTTTTTAACATTATTTAACTTAGTTTTGCGTAGATTCACTTATCCCATTGCAATATATTTGTTTAAACTTCACTGTGTTAAACTGCTATTGCATTGCCCACTCACTTACAACTTAAACTCCATTTTCATCATGTGTGCATCCTGGTGGAGTGCTCATAGTTACTTAGTGTTATGTTATCACCCATCATAGAATCAGCATCACATAATGATAACTTTGCATAATATTTGAATTTATCACCATGCAGTACTTAAATTGAAACTGAGAAACCAATCCCCTTGAAAAAGCCGCAGATTAGGATGGGGTAATGTGCCATTATCCCTCCCTGAACTCCAAGCAGCATTTCATGTTTACCCTGTAGCATTTGATGGAAAGAAACAAGTCCAAATCATGTCCCTTACTTACCTAATATTTTCAGAGGCTCCACAACATGCTACAGAGGTCCACCCAGAAGTCAACAAAACAGCACAAGTTAATATTTTTCAACAGTGCTGATAGGCCTCAAGTTACAGTATTCAAGTGAAGTGGAAAAACTAAAGTGCAATCATAAAGATTAACAGACTTGGTTATGACAATAATCAACATTCTCTGGTGCAGCCAACATCTACTGTCAACTGACAGCCAAAACAAAGTGCTACTTATCTAACCAGGCTTGAATATGGATAAAAAACCCACAGCTCTTAGGAAAGCAAATAGAGATGATGATTTTATAATTTAAACAAACTTATTGGTGGATGCCAAACTACTCAGTGTGACTTTGTACATACCTACCAGTCCATTCACTGAACTATTCTTCCTTCCTAACTTATTTGAATGGATGACAGGAATCAGCAACCTCACTAGCCATTGCTTATCTCAGAGACAATTATCAAAATAGTCACAACCTGATCAGAAAATATATGTTCCACTCACACTTTTTAAAAAAATGATTCAAATTTAGTATGCCCCTTTTATATCACTGCCCAAGGCTCATACTCTTGGGTGATTCTAGCATATGAGCCCATAAACCTGCAATGGAGGGGCAAAGTATCTGGCCCTTTAACATCAGCTGAGTTGCAGAGATGTTTCATCTGAATTATATGTGAAGAATCCAGTCTGGAAAAACATCCACTATGCTAAACCTTTCTTGGGATCAGTGTGCTTAGCCTGAAGCATGCATGAACCAAACATAGGTCAGGTCAAATTGCCCTGAATTTCTAAATTATTGCCTGATTTTATAGGGTGTGGGGATATTCTTTGCTAAAATTACCTGACAAATATGACAATTCTTTAAAAAATTGGCTCAGTTTGGTTGTGAATTGGCAGTGTCATGCAATGAACTTGCAGCTCTGGAATTCATGCTGTGGGTGTGATGAAATTAATACCAGAATGTTACTGCTACTCCAGACATGCTCAATGTAAGGTTTTGATTACAGTCTGGCTCAGAATTGACAAAAATAGTAATAAAGACTGGCAATTATGAAATGCAAACAAACAAGTATTATTCAATGTGAATGGCCTTTTTCATTGCTAGACCTAAGCCAGCCTGCAAAAAATCTATCCTGCTCTCTGAATACTATCATATTGATGAGCTGAACCTGGAGCATGCATGCAACAATCTAAGGCAAAGCCAATTGATGCTGAATTTGAAACAATTGCTACTGAAAATTTTAGAAGATGGTATTTTGAGATGTAATTACTTTATGACATCATCATTCATTGAAACATTGGCTTACTATGCTCTGTAATTATTCACAACCATGTGCCCAACTCAAGACCCAAGTTCACAGTATGCACTAACCTCATTGACAGAATGCTGCTGCTATGCCATACTTGTTTAGACATATTAAACATGTTTTTAGTCTAAAGAACAGGCCAGCTTTCACCTCAAATATGCTTTGAGCATGTTTGAGGACACTTGAACACCTTTTGTCACCATTTAACCAACTACATTGTCACCAACTGCACTGTGATATATGCATGAAAGTATTTGTTAAATACTTCAAAAAATTTGAAATTATGTGTAGCACATACAAGCTGAACAAATTTTCCATGCATGAGAAACCTACATAAAATTTAACAATGAATCTCAAGGATAAGCTCATTTAGAAAATCTGGCTTAGGCAGCAATTTCACCATTCTCTATGCCAACAACAATTACAATAACACAGCTATCACTGAAATAAGAATTAAGCACGAAGCCTTTGCTTGATTAATCGATAGTTGAGGTACACACTCCTTTAAGATTGGATCGAATATTTAAGATCGTAGATACACGGGTACAACGCACCATCTCCAAATCCACATCTTCCGGATCTGTGGCCATTCTTGAAATGTAGCTTCTACCCAGATGATATCAGATTAGTCCAGACGCAATACAGATGCTTTCCCACTCGCGCTTTTGCTGTTATACGCCACAATTAAATCATATGGTAACTCGTGTTTTGCTAGCTATTGTTGCGCTGTGCTGGACTTTGAGGCAAACATGGTGGGTAACTTTGAACTTAGTATTCAAAAACGGCTAACTTTTCTGTTATTTAAGTCAACATCGGACAGAGTAGCCTATAATTCAGGTCTAGATTGAATTCTAGAATTTATGTATTTTTTAGCCAACATGCTAATCATGCCACTTTCATGCTAAGTGTGCATTCCAAAGAAATGCACAACAAAACTTCTGGATGGTAACTATGGTAACTGATCGGAACATCACAACAGACCTTACCATAGCGATACATTTCTGGGTGTTTTGGTGCGAATTGTTCATTATTTACTTGGTAGAAAAGTGGATGGAGTTGGGCGTGCGGGCGAGTGCCGGGGAACAAATCTGTGACCGGTGAGCCAGGCATCAATAGCGAGACGTTTGTATCTGCTGTCACATACGGTGTTGATTCCGATAGGTTGCACGCCGCCTTCCCCGTGACCAGACAAAACCGTGTATCGCATTTTTTTGTCATTCACTCGCAACGCATTCCTTCGCACGCAAAGCTCATGCGTCGTTTGTCACGTCGTCGTTCGGCGTGCCTAAGCTCGCATCGCAAATTATCAGACACGAAATGTTGTGTTCGTAAGCCTGCGTAACCTTTCGAATCACGCTTCTTGTCATATGCTTTGCTTCGTGTCACGTTTTTTTTCGCACCGAAGTTAGATTTTGCACATATTTTTTCGTATTGCACTTGTGTAGTGCGTGAATAATACATTTGCATCAGTTTTAAGGTATACGCGACTGCACGCATTACATTCCTTTGCATTGTTTCTTCGTAAACTCATCTTCGTTTCGCTTTTTCGGCGTGCAGAGTCTTAACCATGAAGCATCTTGTTAAGTCTGTTCTCCCCGTTTTTTCCACTCTTCTGCCTGTGATATTGTTTATTGCTGTTTTTTAATTAGACCGACTTGTACACAAAGGGTCCTTCTACCGCCTTACTGGTGTACATCACTCGCAAGTCTCTATACCATGGGAGTGGCAACAAAGAGAAAGGGCTCAGTGCAATGTCCCCCATCTCTTCGCAATGCTAAATATTAACCCAATGACGATACATGGAGAGCATGTACTTCGAGATTGGCATTGTTTCCTCAGCTTTCTGGGGGGCGACTACATCTACGTTCCATACATAACGCTATGGATATCGCCGAAGGGGAGGGGCGTACCCCCCCCCCCTCCCCTCCTTTTCTCAAACGGGAGAGGGATCGCCCTCACTGGTCAGGACGAAAATCTCAGAAATAACGACAGCCAGCTTGCAATGTGAACTACAATTAAGTCGTTAGTCATTATCATCGACGATTAGAAAATAAATATATCAATGGACTTCGCATTTCTAGGCTTGGAGTGTCTTTGCATCCCTTTGCGTGATTGCTCGGAGCATAGTGGACGGAACACGAGGGCACACGATTTGATGTGGAAGTTTTGGATCACACTAAAGACAGACGCACAAACAATACTCCCTTGTGTTCAGGAAGAGCGTGAACCCAAACAGAAGGCCGATCCAGCACTGATTGCTGTCGGCATTGCCCGAACACCCGGAGGCGTAACTTTGATGATTATCCTTTTCTTGTGGCTGTAGACAATTAACTGGTTGCCTGTATGAAACCAAAGGAGTAAAAAAGAGCCTCTTTGACGTGGCTGACTGAAATACATCGAAGCTCTCATAAAGCTGAAGTCGTAGCAATTTAAATATGGTTAATTGGTCTGCATATTGGAATTTGCTTCTGGCGGTAACTGACCTTTATTAACAGGGTTAGTGTATTGGAGGGCGGGTACCGGGCACTACCAGACATGATTTGGCCTTCCCGCTTCATGACGAGCTTCCAGTGCATGGGAGGGGAGGCGTTCCGAATTGTTTGCAATGTTTTAACTCAATACGTGTGCACTAATTTCGTAAAAATTAATTAAAAATGTTAAAAAGTGAAAAATAATTTCGTAAAAACCTCAAAATTCCGTGGCACCGCTGCGAACGCTATAGGAGCGACGAGCCCAAAGGAATGGGGGCGGACAGAATGTGCCCTGGCAGGAAGTGATTAAATGTCCTGGTCTGGACTGGTCCAGGTTTGGTGGAATTTTGAACTGAGAGAGCCACCGTGAAGACCTTTCCGTGAAACTTCCGCCTTTCTGCTGGTAAATGATAGATGGACAGGCAAGCTGAAAATAAATACCACTGGAGTCGTATAAGGAGTGTCACCTTTCATGGTGAATGTTCAGTTAGCAGCAAAGCTTACGGCCGAACAAAATTATACTTTACAACGAATTCCTTTGTAAACTAGGTACACCAAACGTCATGTGCGACGACAGTGTCAAGCAGGCGTGGTGCAACATTCGGTTCCCATCGACCCACACGGTCAACAACAAATGATAAAACGAGTGTAATAGATCCCTGCACGATGATGATCCCGTTTTGAACCACTGTCATATAGACCGAAATCTTTACAGCTGACCACCGAACCCAGCGTTCAGGGCGCGTCTGATCGTAGTGCGACATGGACCCATTGTTTGAAGCCATCAGCTGCTTCCGGCGAAGGGAGTTCGAACGCTGCGCAGACAAGTGCTCCGAAATTCTCCTGAAGCATCCCTATGACCAGGTAAGTGTGCTTTCTCTTGATGTGGTCTACTCCAGCAGGCCATATTGGCTGGCCTGCTTGGGTTCACAGTGCTGCAGAGCATTCCCGGATGTCACACATTTTGCTCTCGTGATCGTGATTCGTGCATCCGTGATTTTATTAAAAGATTATTTTATTGATTCGATGACCTTGCACTGCGTAGGTCGACAGGTACCTGCCCCCTTTAACGTTCTTTCAATATGTACAGGTACAGAACGGCTTCAGCTAGGATATTGACCCCGAAATAATGTATATATGACATTCACAACTTTTCGTTTCTGATGTAGTTGTGCTTTTGTACGGTTAAGCTACGCATCGTTGTCATTACTAGGCCCCCAAATGATAACCACTATCATCATAGGACGCTGTCGTAGGTTGGCCTCAACCTCCGTTTTTGTGATATACTCACGAGCTGCGTTATATGTTGCTTTTAATTATGTCTGCGATTAGTTTTCGTTTCTAGCCTGCGGGTAACGTCTTCACGTCCACCCCCAAAAGTTGTCCTAGGCCACTGCCGTTCTACGCTTAGTGAGCACAGTAGATCAAAAGTCCCAGTCAGAGGTGAAGCTTATCCCCTAGCTGCGTTCTCCTGTGCATCAGCTAGGACTAGCTGCATCAGAAGAACGGATTAAGCACAGCGTGCACTTCTCGATGTCGGGCTGGCATCCATTCATTTCGCGAAACGTGCGGTTTAGATCCATTAAACGGGGCATTACAAAATGTATTGTACCTTGATATTTCACCTGCTAAGTGCACCGTCAACCGAATTTATAAAACGTGCATGCGAAAAGAGAATTGATGCCCCGGCGGCCAGCATGTGTCATAAAACGATAATTGCATCCCGTGTAAATTTCGAAACCTTAGACGTCAAATTGACCCCAAAATTTAAGTTCGAACGTAATTTCCCGTATGCAAAAGAGACTAATCATGAGCAAACAGTCCATTCGTTTGAACCGTACTGCCGGCGCCGCGTCTGGACGTACTGTGGCTGTCACGATCTGACATCATTCCATAAAACACCCGAAAACGTCAGATTAGCACTTTGGGCGTAAAAACGCGTGACGGTGCGCGCACGTGGGCCCACAAGTTGGTCAGCAGGTTTATTCATTCTCTGCCCCGTCAAAATATATCATTTTAGTGTGGCACCTGCTCGCCAAGATCTGGATCTGTTTACGACCTGTGTTCTTCAGCTTTTTGACATTCCGAGTGCTCTGTGTGCCCGAGGCTAATAGGTGCCGGGGTGGGTGGGGTGAATAAATTGTAATAACATTGCATCTTTGCAGAAGCACAGCATCTGATTGAGCAGCTAGTATTTGTACAACTGGTATTTTAACACTTTTACAGTACTCCAAATGATATTAGATCAGCTCGCACAGATCGTCATAGAGATCGCACCGTTCAACTTCGCAAAAATGGGTGACCTCTTGCTGAATGCATCTGAGAGGTACCATTAGTGGTTGTGAAGGTATAACCGCGCTGAGAGCGTCACAGACAGCACGGGGTCTTGATGCTAGAATTATGCGAGTGACACGTACGTGCGGCGTGGGTCAAGTGAAGCGATTACAAGTGTCAATGTCACCATGCACGTGTGCATATGACGCCAAATTGTGTCAGATGAAGCTTGGTGCGTTCCAGCATCCATACAAATGGTTCTTACTTATTTGTTGTAATCGATGTCTTTCATGAGGGTTTAACAGTCAACGTGGATAAGTAACAAAGCGTCCCGCTTTCATTTGCAAGTCACTCTGCTTGGTAGTCGGCTGACAATGGGATTTATCAAGGGCGTTACAGCAGACGGAGCCGATGAGTTTTGGATGATCCACGTTGTTGCTGACTGTTGTGAGGGTAATGAGAGGAGGCCAAAATGTGTTGAGCAGTTGCCGTTTTTTTTTATTTCGGTTAAGGCTGGAGCGAACTAGACTTTGCGGTGATGATATAAAGGTGACCCATGTCGACTTCCTTTCTTACTGTCTTTGCTGTGCCACGGACAACATTGAGATCGCTGTGATTTGTGGACGCAACGTTAGCATGCAATACACAAGCGGTTTCTGGAGCTGAGGATTTGCAGCGCTTTGTTGTCGGAATCCTAGTGTAGGGGGATGTATACGCGAATTTGAAATCGAACAGATTTGAATTGTTTCATGAAAATTTTGAACTGATACGTCATAATGAAAGGTAAAAACAGTGAGCAACGCTTGGTGCAAAACCAAAATATACGCCTCCCATTGCTTACCTTGAGGGAATGTGAACCCATTTAACTGCATGTTTAAATGATGTCTTTAAGGATTTTAGAACTGATTTTAGGATTCAGGCCCGCGATTTTAGCAGTTGAAGAATCGCAAGATTAAAATATATTCAACTCATGGCG